ACAATGCAGCAGTGATTGTTTAGATGGGACACGTAAATAAGAGAGAGCCATCTGGACTGCTAAAAACACAGCAAACACAGAATTCTGCTACTGGAACTGAATTCAGGCTGTTTTTCCTTTTAGGTAATCAGGACCCGTGGATTTCATTCACTTTGTGGAAGTATTTTTTTCTTTTTGGTCATCAGCTGGTAACATTTATAACCTTTGGAAGGTCCTGAAGTCTAAAAAAATCAGCAGCCTGCCATTTTTTGGTGCATACAATTAACAGGTTTTCCTTTGAGCTAAGGCTTGGCATCCAGTTTCAGGATAGGTAGGAAATGGGTGCAAGTTTTCCTGTGTATCTGCGTTTCAAAGTTCTCCGCCTTCTCAATAGAACAAAAGACCAGAAAACGTTCAGTGCAAAACTTAGAACTGAATTCACCGAGTTGGAGACAGCTGAGGAGCTACATGAAAAATTACATCCAAGGTGAGCACCTTCTGGCTCTTTGTAGAGCTTTTATTATTTAGCAGTTATCAGGGATTTTTGCAGTATTTGGGAAATGAAATAATTATGAGCCATGAACTGAGGGCACATTTTTCTTTCTTCACTGATTGCTAATAATTTGCACTAGTCCATACTACTTTAAATATATTGTCATTTTATGTTTAGATAAGCATAGGAAGGAGGGATTTTTCTTTCCATATTGGAAAGATTTTTTTAACCTACTGTGATCAGACAGCCAAAATGCAGGATCTGATGCATGTTGTGGCTTTCAGTGCCTTCAAAGAAGTATTGTCTGGGAGGTTCTTTCTCTTCAATATATAGGAGTTAGCAGCGCATATTTATATTGTTGGGATTTGGACAGGAATTAGATTTTGGTATTTAGTTTTTTGCTGCTAGGATGAACTTAATGCCATAAACAGTGAATAATCTGAAGGCACAAAGCATCTGGTGTTTCTTTGCTGCCACACAATATACAAACATTTAGGCCATTGTGTTTAGGCCGCTGAGGAAAAAAAATTAGTGGGGCATAGAAAAAACACCTAAGAGAGATACAAATATGTGAGTTCATTCAGCAAATGTTTGAGCAGCTGTAGACTTCATATTTAGTTCTGAAAAGGTCCATGTAGAATTCTATTCAGAATTTTAAATATGTGCCCAATTATGGTGTCTCCCAATGAAGAAAATGACTATTTTTTCCACTTCCTTGAACAGTTTTCCTGATTCTGTTCACATTTCCACCTCGTGACCAGGCTGTGTTTGCACTGGCTTTACATAATGGCAGGATTAGCTGAAAGTAGCCTCCCAAAATCTCAGGTAGCTCTTCCCTTGCTACACTCATTTTTCAGCTCGTTGTCTCCGTTTTTGCTAAGCAGGAATCAAATCAGGTTTAGTTATTACATCTCTCCCAGGCAGGATTTGAATCCATCATGTGCTGGAGACACAAGCCTTGGTCTTAGTGCTTCTCTCAGTATTTGAGCTCTCAATTTAACTTGTGGGGAAAGTGGAGAATTCAGAGTGTGTGTGTTTGGGGTTTATTAATACTAAAGACATCTGGGAATCTCTGAAAATTGCTAAACTAATGGACTGCCTGCAGCCTGACAGTGCAAAGTACCTTCGGCTCCCTATAAATTACATGAGTTTTCTGTTCAATCAGCATTTGAGACTTCCATGCAGCATAACTGGCCTGCTTTAGCAGGTTTTTAACTGAAATGGGTGGTGTCAAGTGTTCTGTAGTCAAATGAACTCTTCTGGTATTCACATTCTTAGGCATCACATATAAATGACCTTTGATTTCAGAGGCTGCTAGGAAAAACATGAGCCTATGTGCCACTAAAAGGGTCCTCAAGGCACATGGCATTCTTATGTACCTGACAACAGAGAAAACAGGATGCTGTGAGTGTTTGTATTCAGAAAAGTCGGGGTTAAATGAATGAAGTGTGTCATTTGAAGTTGAATTAATTTAGGTGTGCTCATCCTGTCACTGAATGCTCCCAAGTGCTTAATTTCTGAGTATTTCAGTGTATTCCTTTTCTGTGCCAGCCTCATAGATTAACAGGAATGGCTGTTTCTTTGTGGCTGTGCAGGCATCTGTGCAGACAAGCTGGCTGGTCAGCTGGGAGCCAGCTCAGAAACAGAACCTGGGAATTCTCTGGCATTGGAAGAGAATTAAGAAGTTGGACAGAAATACTCACTTGAGATTGCTGATAGGATTGTATGATTTTTGTGGATTAATTTGTGTGAGTTAGTAGAAATGTATGCTTGTAGTTGAATTTATTTTTGGTTAGTAACTCTTACTTTCCTAGGTGTGCATCTGGGCCTAGAGAAGCACCCCCAAACAAGGCTACCTTCCTGCACAGAAATTCTTTAAACTGTGAAAAAAGGAATGGGAAAATCTTGACATTTTCATTCAGCTTGCTAAAATTCACACAATTCTTGAAGTGTTTTGTCATTTTGCCAGACCTGGGGAAAAGTTTGCCCTGTGTCAGACCTTTTGGGAGTGTTACCTCTGCAGCACAGTGCTACAGCAAGGGCTTTCCTCCAGCAGTGGCAGCAGCTGGGCTTGGGAGGCAGCATCTTGGCATATTTGCCCAGGGGGAAAGAGCAGGGAGAGAGAGCGGGGGAGAAGGCCTATAAATACTACATGGCTGCAGCTCTGCTGCTCCGTGAACCAAGTGCACTCTGCAAAAATGTCACAGCACTTCACTGCTCAGCACTGAGTTGGATGGAAATCACCAACTGCACTGTTTGTTTGGGGTGGCTTGGAGTCATCCTGGCGTTTTAGAGATGTATTTGATCAGGAAAATGGCTTGTGTGACTGTGCTGTCAGCCTTTCTTCCCTTCCTTATCGATCTCCTTCCACTTTCCAATGGCTCTGGAATTTATTTTAGCCAAAGTTTTTAAAGGATCAGAAATCCCCGAAGGTGTTACACTCCTACAAACATGTTAAAAATGAGTGGTTAGGTGCAGGAGAGACCCTCACTGGAGTTCCTGCAGAGGGAAAAGCACTGTGCCTGTTGTGGTTGGTGTTTTTTCAGGGGGATGAGCCTGTGCATGGCCGTGCTCTCCTGCCTGGCCACACATGGAAGTGATGTCTGGAAGGGAAACCTACTGCAGGGGGAACTGAGCACAGAGATTTATTTAGGGATGCATTGGAGGCTCTGAGACAAAGAAGAGCTTCTGCTCCACTGATCCTGTGCTTGAGAAGAGGGAAAAGCAGGATCTGGGAGGGCTCTTGGTTTTTGTCTACCAGTGGGTGTTAAGGGAATCCTATTGCAGAAATAGCAGAGAGGACAATTACTCACTCTCCCAGTGTCAGTGCCTTTCTCCACTGTGTAACATATCCAGTCTCATTAAGAAGTCAGGATTGCCACAATTTATTTTTGTTTTCCTATGAATTTGCAGCATATCAATACTCATTTAAAGAGCTTTCCCCATCTCTTGGCAAGCCATGGGTTTACAGGCTGATTTGCTTATCCTTAGGGTTAGCTCTGGGACAGCACAGTGAAAACAAGTCAACATCCAAGATGCAAAGTGGAGCCATGCTGCTGGGTAAGAAGAGTTTGGTCTCCACACAGAATCAGCTTCTGGCATTCCCCTCTCTTCCACAATCAAGTGCAAGCCATTGCTGTGCTCTTACCTTTGTTCAGCCTGACCAAATGTAAATCTTTCCTAAAAGCAATAAAGCCTGGTCTTGAAATATGTTGAGCTGATGTGTCAGGGTTTAAGAACAATTTTGGAAACTTTTCTTTCTGATATATGCAGTCCCAGGTTATTCTTTCTCTCTGTGCATCCATTTAGAAACTGAAAGCTGGTGTACATAAAGAAGAGAATTCAAAAGTAGAAGCCGTTTATCCCATCTCAGATTAAGAAACCTGTTAGGTCAGTTTATTTTGTTTTATTTTCAACCTGCTGACTTCTTTCCTTGCCTTGTTTTTACCTTGTAAAAAACAGCTGCTGAACTTTTTACCTACCTTTCCTGTAGCCCCAGTGATCATGGAAATCACATTTTTATCTCCCACCCTAAAAATGCAAAGCCTACAGGCTTAATCTCGAACGCAGCTGACACTGGTACAAAATACAATAGTTCAGTGTGGGAAATAGTTTCTTTTGTTGCTGCTGAAAGAGAAGAATCACACAGGTGCTGGAGACAGATATGCAATTATTTTCTTCCTACTCAGAACATTTTGGATAGGAATGTTTCTTTTTAGTGAAATGTGTCAAAGTCTATATTTAAAATAAAAAACAGGCTTAAATACACTGGAAGTATAATAATAAATTATAAATAAAATAAACGTATTTTCTGATGGAGAACCATACAGCAGAGTACAACAAAAAGTAGAGTTAGTTGAACTTTCTGTTGCAATGGAAATACCTGGATTTTCCCTTCCATTTAGATCTGTAAAAAGAGGAAAATATGTAACAGGAAAGAATTTTATTCAGCATGAGCTTCTAACCATCAATGAAGGCAGTGAAATTTGAATATCCATCCACAGCTAGATATGGATATGTGGATGCATGCTGTGCTGTCTGCACACAGCAGACCCAAATTTCAGGATTTCAGGTGGACTTGGGGAGGCAAAACCAAGCATTTTTCTGCTTGTACTTGGGCTGTTCAGCAGATGCACATCCTAGGATGCTCAGAGCTTAGACAAGACTTAAATCAAGGAAGATGTTTGTGGGGATCAGCAGAGCAGCACCTTTCACCTTCTGTCAGATCTGGCCTGAAATGTCTTTCCTGATAACCAGAAGAGCCTATTTTTGTCTCAGTGCTGACTTCACGAACCAGAAGCACTCTGGAATGAGTGAAGCCATGGATGGCAGGCTCTGCCCTTGCAAAGCTATGCATAATATTTATATTACAGTATGAGGAATACTTTGGAAATTTGCAATGTAATAAAATTCCTCTCTCCTTTTCCATTTCTGCTTTATAACATTTAAATAGGGTGGCCACTGAGTCATTGTTGCTACATTTCTTTGTTCAGCTATAAATCTTTACATCCTTCTGTGTTTTCTTCAGGAATCTGAAATGAAAGGGAACTAGATTGTGATGATCATCTTGTCACTGTTGCTGTCACCTGTGTTGACAGGTAAGTGTGCCAAGCTGGTTTTGAAGACAAAATGTTTGAATTATTTGTATCAGGTGGGAAAAGCTACAGTTACAGCCCAGAACCCCACTTGTGGGTCAAGCTGGATGCTGCAAAGGTGAGTTTTTCAACAAACAAGTGGTCAAAAAATGCTTCCAAAACCTTTATAATCTCCAGAAGGGGAAACTGTTCCTCCTTCTGCTTTATGGTGATGGGTAGCCACCCACAAAAATGATCTCAGAGCAGAGGAATTTTCAGTTGAACTGCAGCCTGGAGTGAAGATGGCTGAAAGGTCTTGTTGACTTGTATCCTCCTCCTCCCCAAAGTACCTGAAATATGAACTAGCAGTTGAAGTTATCATATGTCTTGTGTTAGACGTGACACTGCCCCTGTTTTTATCTAGGAGGAATTTATTAATGAGGTCCCTGCAAATTTTAGGACTGGATGAAGAATTTCTAGGATTTTGTACAGTTAGGTGAGAACTGAAGGACTTGAACCTCTTGTGATACAGCACCATCATATTCCTTTTATCTCTTTTACCTTACCTAAATGCTGTGTTTTCAGACTTTTTTATTAATAAAAACTTCTAGTCTCTAGATGTATTATAAATATCTTTATCTTTACTTTTCTCTGATTCTTTCAAAACACAGTCCAAAAAGTTTTAGCAGCACTCTGGAAATGACTTAGAACTTCTTATGCAGAACAATTTCTCGAAGTAACATCACTTTCTTGGCTTCCAGTTCAATCATTACAAAATAAATTGAAACATGAAACTCAGATCAGAAAACTAGAACAAAAAGGACACTGATTGAAACTTAGGTTTCCTTTGGTGATGCATGACGCTTCTGTATGATCTGGAAACTAAAAAACTCATTTTCTCTGTGATAAGAGGGACTGAAGGTGCCTCTTCTTGCACTGGCTGCTGCAGGTGTCTGTGTCAATGTGCATTTATGAACACAGATCAAGGACTGAATAGTGAGTCTTAACAGTGCCTTTGGATGAGCACTGGAAGGAGAACAAAATTACAAAAATTATGTAAAATGTGTCAGGTGGATTTCTGTAAAGTGTGTGGTGGCATGAAGCAGTATAATTTGGATCAGTAGTATGTAAAAATGGGAAAAGGAGAAAGATTTAAAAAATGTGTCTGCCTCAAAGCTCAGCCTAATGAATTAGATGCCCTAGCTTATTAGGGCATTTAATAATTGAATGTTTGCTTCTGGTAGGGCCACTATCAAAGATAAGCACAACAATCTAAAGAGAGATGTGCAGAAACAAGTGTGCAAATTTGGATTTCAAGTGTTGTGTTTGACAATGTGTTGCGTTGATGGGAATAACTGTGTTCTATTGTCTGAAATGTTTAAATTGCATGGATACCTTCCAGTATCCCAGGGTGCTCCAAGCCCTGTCCAGCCTGGCCTTGGACACTTCCAGGGATCCAGGGGCAGCCACCGCTTCTCTGGGCACCTGGTGCCAGGGCCTCACCAGCTCCTGAGTAAAGAATTTCTTCCTGATCTAAATTTCTTGTCTTTCAGTTTAAAATCATTCCCCCTTGTCCTGTCATTATCTGCCTGTGGAAAAAGTCACCCTCCTTCTTTTATATAAGCCCCCTTTAGGAAGCATGTAAAAAAATTCAGCTGATATGCAGAAGTGGTCACTCTCCATGTGTGACTAAAAACCAAGAGAAGTTTGGATTTATTAAGAACTGCAGAAAACTTTTGAGGTGAGGCAGCTAGTGATGGCAAGTGTGAAAAAAACCCCCAAAACCAGCTATGAGAGAGGCTACATAAAAGCTGTGGGAGAACATTAAGCAGACATAAAACCTAATAGCAAATCTTTTTAATGCTTCTTTTCTTTAAAAGTGTGAACAAAAAAAGTATTTCTAGTTTTATGTGAATGCTGAAATGGGCTTTTCTTGTGCCAGTTCTGCCTCTTTCATTCCTGCAAACAGCAAAGAAAAGAGAGGGTTTTGTAAATCTCATTAATGGGTATGTCCTGAAGGGTTTGGTTCACATGATGGGCTCAATTACTGCCTTCTCTGCTCAGCTGCATAACAGGGAAAGCAGAGCTGCCTGCATGCTGCTCTTCCCCTCTGACCAGGTTGCAGGCACAGGTAAGTCTGGCAGCAGCAGATCAGGAAATGAGTTTTGCATCACAATTGTTCCCACCAGCAGCCCACCTGGTGGCACTGGGGCAGCAAAGTGAGGGGTGCCTCTTACAGGCTCACCCCAGCCTCCAGTTTTATAGAAACCCAGGAGCCCTTCCAAGCGCAGTGTTCCTGGGCATCACTGCTTGTCATTCCTAGGAAGTCATGGTCACATGTGGGTGTCGTTCACAAAGGTTCTGTCAAATCCTCTCTCAGTTGCTTTTCCTTTGGAACATTTAATAAAATCTTTTCCTAAATACTTTCTTCATGGCAGAAACTGATAGTAGCATGCCTGGAGTGCAAATGATGCTGATTTTCTTGTTAGGATTATTTTCTATCCTGATTCAATCAAGTTTGTTTTTTTTTTTTTTTTCCCCAAGTGCTTTTATATTCAGCTTGCATATCTTGATTAGACTGTGATAATTTCCATGGCTGGAATCTCCAAAGTGTGCTGTCAAGAAATTATAAATGGTAATGAATTCACTTAATCAGGACTTCAGGAGTACAATCAACATGGAATCTAGTCAATTAGAAATAAATCTGTTTAAAGCATTTCTGGTTCTCCAACAGTCTCATTTGAGGCCTTACATTACCTGGGACTGAATTAGACACCTACACAGGCAGGTAGAAAATGCACTTTGTAAGAAATTGCTGTAAAGGGGCATAAATGAGTCCAGAAATGTAGGTGATGCTGAAATTTGCTTGAATCTCCATTACAAACTAAGTTGCATAGCCACCAACTGGAGAAAATCTATGGTGCTGGCTGTGACTTGGCACTCTGCAGACCACATCTTGCACCTTGTATCTGGTTTTGGACCCACCACAGTAAAGGAAAGATATGGACAAACTGGAGCAGGTTCTGTGGAGGGCCACCAAGAAAAAGGGAGCTGGAGCATTGTGCAAGGAGAGGGAAAGGTAAGCCTGGAAAAGAGCTGGCTTCAGGGAGGTTTTTCAGGCAGGCCTGGATAAAAGCATGGGCAGCCCAAGCAGATCTCCTTGCTGGATCTGCTCTGGGCAAGAGGTTGAAATAAAGACCTCCAGAGACCCCTGTGGCCTAAATGACTTGGTGATTCTCTGAGTCTAAGTAAGGCACAGCAAAGAATCCAGGTCCTTGTGTTCAGAGAGGTTGATTTTTATTTTGATTCTGCATTGAGAGAGGGATACTTCAGAAAACAGCCTTGTTGTTACCCTAAAGTGTCTCTAAACTAAAGGTATTGTGAGCAGATAACCCAGGATGATTTAGCATGCTATTTAGTTTTAATATTAAATTCCAAACTAAACATGGCATTTAAATAGAAAAAGCTGGAAGAGTTTATGAATCTGTGCTTTCACACAATAAGATTATTTCTATTTTTTGTTTCCCTTCTTTTGTCTAATGGTCACAAACATGGGTCTCATTCTGTTTTCTTCTTGCCTAAGAAGTGATATTTTATTTCTTGAGCTGTTTACTGAAGGTAATAATTAAACCTTGGTAGTCAATGAGGAAACTGGCTCTTTTAATCAGTTTAATTGGGTTGATTGCCTAACTTTTGGCTGGCTATAATTTGGTAAAAATGAGTTTATCTGTTTAATGAATTGAATAAAAAATCTCAGAGGTCAAGAATACACTTTATTTTTCAGTTATTCTACAGAGCCACTGTGCTGCCTGGGTCAGTTTGGCAGATCATTTAACCTTTCTAAGCCTGCAAATATTTTCTCCACTCTGTCATCACCATCCTTCACCTACACAACCCTAAAGAATGTCCTTGGTTGTGCCATGAGCACAGGCTGGAGTATAAATTAAAGCCCAAAATATGCTTAGCTTGGGTTGGAAAATAGCTGGGGAAGATGCAGCTAAGGTAAACAGAGCTCCTTTTTCAAAATTACCTCTGAAAAAGGAAAAAGTCAGAAGTTTTTCTGCAATTAAGAGAAGCCTGGAGCCCATCTGTCCCTGGGAACCAGGAACATTTGCTGCAGACAGACACAGATGGGCAGAGGGATGGTGAGGACAGGGCACGTGGCTGTGCTTGCAGTGGAGTTTGGCTGAACCAAGGGCTGCTCACCTGCCCCGCTCCTCCTCCGCCCTTTCTGGGTCACCACTTGTTTGTTGCTTCCCCCTGGATTAAGGAAAGAAATGAAGATGGTGTGAAGGCCAGGGAAAATCTCCCCCAATGGGCTCTTTGGCAGGGGACTGGCCTGGAACTGCAGACCTGGAGAGTCTGAGCTCTGTGCCCCCAAATCCCACCTGTAGACATTTGCAAACCACTTTGTCCTCTGCAAACCTCAAGGGGTGTTTCCTGCTGAGTTGAAATAGAAATGAATTTGTTGAAATTAAATGAGAAAAAAACCCAGCATACACAAGGAGAAAGGGTAATTGATTTCATTTGTTTTGCCTGCTCTCAACCAAAGATAACTAATCCTTTTATAGGAAAAACAGAGCATCTATTTGAAGCTTTGCTTTTTTTTTTTTTTTAACTTGCATGTTATTCCATTGATTAAACTAAAGCAAACAATGAGACTATTTATGTCAACACAGCAAATCAAATGACATAATAATCCCCACCAGGATCACATCTGAGGAAAAATCAGGTTAAACTTCATAGCAAGCTCTAAATGCTAACCTGTGTGCAGGGAGGAGAGGAAATCTGCTTTATCTACATTCAGCGCTTGATCTAATTTACATAAAATACACCAGTGGTGCTTCACTGTTAACACTTTATTCTGTTTGTATTTGAATTATCAGAAAAAAATGTTCTATGGGTAAAGAGGAAAGAGGTTGATAAACATCAAATGCAAATTAACAGGTGACAGAGCTGCTTTGTCCATTGGGGATGTGAAATTGAGGTAAATACATTCAACAAGCTTTTTTTTTCCCAGACTC